GGGGGAGGGGGGTGAGCGGGAGGAAGAGGAGGCCCGGGTCGAGGAGCAGGGGGCCGTCAGCGGCATTGTAGAGGAGCCGGCCAGCGCAGCGCGGGGTTCGGGGGCCGCAGGAACCCCCGGCGGAAGCCCCCCCTCCGGGACCAGCCTGGCGAGACTCGGCGCGCCCACGGCCACGGCAGGGGTTTCCTGGGTGAGTGGCCCGGGCAGCGGGGCTGGCTGTGAGCCCGGCTGGACATGGCGCCTCGGGGCCCTGGCGCATGGGGAGCCCCGACGCTGGGTCCGATGCCAAGGTGGGGGGCGGCGCCGGCCTGGCCTTCGGCCTCGTCTCCATCGCGGAGGGGCGAGGAGCCCCCACTGCTCAGGCCAGCTTGGCGCATGGTCGGGGACAGGTCCCCCGCGGCCGGGGCGGAGGGGTCAGCGTCGGCCTGAGGTCCGCGGGGCGGTGTGGAGCTCACTGTGGCCCAGGAGCGGCTCTGAAGCCGCCGGCCACCCGGGGACACTGGCACTGCTGGGGCCGCGCAGGCCGGGGACCCCGGGTCGCGCCCTGGGAGCTTGGGGGCGCTGGGCAGCCACTGGGGACTCGGGCAGCGAGGGTGGAAGCCCCTGGATGTGGGGCGTCGCCACCCCCCCTTCTGTCTGCTTTCAGGACACCGCTGTGGGACGTCCCAGACAGTCCTGGAGCTCGGGGGCCAGCGCGTCCCCGGGGGGCCAGAGCACAGAGTCGCTGCCTCCGCACTGGGACAAGGACGTCCACGAAGACCAGCGGCCGGGCTCCCCGGGGCGGCAGCTCTCGCAGCAGAGGGCCGGCTCGCGGCCAAGGGGGGCCAGAGCAGGCAAAGCGTCCGGGCCGGACGAGTCACTGGTGTCTGCCGCCACCGAGGACGTGCTGTTCCAGAAGGACGACAGCGCCACCGTGTACCCCCTGGTGAGCGGGGTGGGCGGGGGTCCGCAGGCGCAAGCGCCCCCAGGCCGTCCGCGGGTCGGGGCAGCGTGGCTGAGCCTCTTCTCGGGGTCCGCGGGGCGGCGCGAGACCCCGCCTCTGCCCCACGTTGCTCCAGGCTTGCGCCGCCCCGCTCCTCCCCGCCCTGTGCCCCACCGTTCCCCGCCCCGCACCCGCAGCCCCCCACCCGCTTGTCACGCGGCCCTCAGTCCCTGCCCCTGCGACCACCGACTCCCAGGATGCAGATGAGAACCAGCTGGCCCGGGAGTCTGCCCCTGCGGCGCGTGGGGGGGGGGGGTGCTGCGCCGTCTGCGAGGGAGAAACACTGCTCACCCCAGAACGCTGCCAGCGCCTTCCACTTTCTGAGCTGCTCCCTCAGACCCCGCTCGCTCTGCGCTGTGGGTGCCCGCGCACGCTGCACTGAGGTGCCTGTGTCGTTCTAACACAGGCAGCACTGGTGAGGGTGGGCGAGGTAGATGGTGGCAGTGACGGCGGTGATGACGACGGTGACAGTGGTGGTGATGATGGTGACGGTGGTGGTGACAGTGACAGTGGTGATGATGATGGTGATGGTGACGGTGGTTCTGACCATGACTGTGGTGACGACAGTGACAATGGTGATGGTGACAGTGGTGACAGCGGTGATGGTGCTGGCGGTGACAGTGATGATGACAGTGACAGTGGTGCTGACACGGTGACAGTGGTGGCAGTGTTGATGACGGTGACAGTGGTGGCAGTGTTGATGACGGTGATGGTGGTGGCGGTGACAGTGGTGACGGTGGTGAGGTGATGGTGGTGGCTGCGGGGGGAAAAGGGAGGGGCCGGCCGTGAGCGCAGGGCCCCCTCTCCGCCGCCCGGTGCTGAGCAGGAAGGCCAGTCCAGTCCCAGTCCCGGCGAACTTGGGGCTCCTGCCCAGCGGCTCCCCGAAGCCCAGAGCTGCGCCCAGGCCTGTGCAGATGTGCTTGGTCCGCTCTCCCCTTGCCCCTCCTGCTGAAGTGGGCAGTCACCGATGAACAACCCGGCAAAGGCAGCTGCCTCTCCCGCCCCAGCGCCCCCTTTCCGTGAGGTACCCTGCAGCGGCTCTGGTGGGGCACCGCAGCGTCCCCGGCCGTCTGCACGGCCCCCCACAGGCCCCACACCGTGTGCGGCCCCTTTGTGCGGAGGCCGCGGGGTGTGCCAGCCCACTCTCCCGAGTGCGAGTGCGAGGCTCTGGGGCTCCTGGTCACCCCTCACTCTCCAGTGGCTAGAGCCCAGATCTCTGTGTGGCCCATGGGGCCGCACCAGCCGTGCTCCCCGATTCGCGGGGTCCACCGCACCCTCCCCACTCGCCTGTCCCAAAGGGCAGGAAGAGGCACAGCAGCGTGCACCCCACCTCTGCCAAGCAGGAGGTTTTGGGGCACACGGAGAAGGAAGCTGATGACTGACTGGATACAGGGCAGCTGGGTCTGACAGCGGGGCACTCTCCTCCGGACCCCACCGCATCAGGGTGCCCCGGTGGCCTTGGGCGGGCTCAGGAGTATATCCGGGCCAGGGAGGGCCCCAGGGCACAGCAGCCCCCCGGCTGCTCTGCTCCCCATTGGCCCCCTCAACACCAAAGGACGCAATGTGGCTGGGGTGGGCGGCAGCAAGGCGCCTTCCCTGCTCCACAGGGGCCGCCCCGCCCGCCCTCCACTAGTGTATCCGGGGTGTGGCGTGCGCAGCTGGGCACAGCGGCAGACCCCGAGCTGGACCTCCAGGGCAGCCCCGCCGCTCTGGCCGCATCTGAAAAGCAGTTTCGGCCTGGAGCCTCCATAGCAGCCAGGGCGGACGTCGGGGCTCGGGGCGGTGCAGCCGGGCGCCGGCTGAGGTCGCACCGCCCTGCAGAGCATGAGCTGGCGCTTCGGCTGGAACAGCGCCCTGCCTGTGCTGTACCTGCGCGACCAGGCCCAGCGGGTGGTGCTGTACGCCTGTGGCCACACTGCGGTCATCTACGACGCGCGCAGGAACAGCCAGCACCACCTGCAGGTAGGCGCGGGGCGTTGCCCACCTTCCCTCTGGGGGCTGGCGAGCGCCCAGAGGAGGGGAGTCCGGCGGGTGGCGAGTGGCATGTGCGCGGTCGGGCCTTTCGGGGTAACGAGGCCGGGGCTGGGCTGCGTCCTCTGGGGCGCCCCTGCCGTGCCCAAGTGGCCACCCCAGATGTTTGGGGCGCCCCCCCACCCCCGCTTCTGCAGGGCCACCCGAACGTGATCTCCTGTCTGTGCGTCAGCGAAGATCGGCGCTGGATCGCCACGGCGGACAAGGGGCCCAGGAGCCTGGTCATCGTGTGGGACTCCTACACGGGGTGGGCCCCTG